TATATTAAATTTAGAATATTATTTTTTTTCTAATTTTTAATAAAAAATATAGGTAATATATAAGTACAAAATATATACTTTATACGAGTTTTAGAATTTTACATTATTATATAGCAAAGGGCATTTTTGATTAATTTCCAATTACTTCAAACGCACAGCTTAATAAATTTTAATATAATAATTAAAAAACGCTAATTATTAGACATTAAAATGTTTTAATCGACTAATAAGTAAATAATATCTACGGTCGTATCTACGATAATATCTAAATCAAAGTTCTATCCGGAAGTCCGATGTCACGACCGCATCTCGACTTTCTTAACTATGTTGCGGATGTCACAAATAATTTATCGCGCGCGAGGTTAAAAAAAATTTGCCACGCGTTTATGAATGATGTTGTTTCAAGTTCGTGGGGACACGGAATCTATGGCCATCGGAGGGTCAAGCTGAGTTGGCATATTTCTGGATATAAATTCAATCAATGAGAGGAACCTTTCATTTCGCATTGGATACTAGCCACAAAACACCATGTGGTCTCATCTCATCTTATTGCTAATCGGTGTTGAGATATTAATTTTATATATAATATAATATAATATGGAAATATAATATGGAAATAAAATTACAGCTTTCATAAAAATTGTGGATAATGTCACTTTCAATATTTTAACAAAAGTGCCTAAAAAGAACAGAAAAATCTTTTTTCTATAATTGTAAAATTATTATTTTCCTAAAATAAAATCTTTAACTTATGTCTCATATATACACACGTATCGTTGAAAATAATTTATGTGCAAGAGCAAATCAAATATTTTGAGACGTCGTAATAAAATATTATTTTACAATGAAATATACGAATATTACAATTATTGTAACTTGACTGTGCAACATGACGCTTTTTTGCAAACAGTTGGCGTGGCCGTGGGTCGCAGCTACAGCGACCATGAACATGCCTGGGATGCAGACAATGTGTATAAATATGTCATAAAGAGTCAAACGAAGACGACCATGCTCAACAAAAACCAACCGGCTTACGGTATTGCGATGAAAGGCGTTCTTGTCGTTCACGCGCAAACACCAGACAAATTGCAAGCGACGGTTCCCAAGCTGCAATATGTTCGCGTGGACGAGCAAACATCGCAAGACCACGAGACCGGATACTCTCAGCAGCAGCATGAGGAATATCACGATGTTCCGATATCCGGAAAACCGTTCGAGATTACGCTCAAGCACGGAGTGATGCGAGATGTAAAGGTCGACAAGAACGTACCTGTTTGGGAAGTGAATCTGCTGAAGAGTATTTTGAGTCAGCTGCAAGTTGATACGCAGGGTGAAAATAGGATAAAGAGCAGGAGTGATCAAATACCCGACAACGAGCAACAACCATTCGCTTCGTATAAAGTCATAGAAGACTCCGTCGGTGGCAATTGCGAGGTTCATTACTATATCACGCCTATGTCCCAAGCTCTTCTCGACAACAGACCAGAATTGGTACCTCTGCCGCATCTCGATGAAAACAATAATTTCATCGAGATTAAAAAAACGAAGGATTACCAAAGATGCAAGCAGCGACAGGGCTATCATTACAATCAACCTAATTGGCCAATTACTTGGCAGCGTAATCAAGAGCATTATTTTACTAGGATGTCGCCAAATGACAAACCTATTTCGGTAAGTTAAATATTGATAATGTATAAGCTATTGTAATATTTTAGCTGATAAAATGCGTCATATAATTTAATAATATTTGAACAAGTTTTTTGGCATGTGTTTCGAATATCGCTACTTTTCTATGCTAATTATGCTTCAAAATACAAATACTGTAGGCAGTAAGAAATAAAATAAGACTTATTTGCGATTATATGATTATTACAGCACGTATCTACAAATCATATGGTCATCTCGGGCAATCTGAAACGTTTCACGGTCCAATCATCTGTGACGACGAGCAACATATTTGTCAAACTTGGCGAAAAAGATTCTGCCATAGGCTCTGTTGACAGCAAAGTAAATTTAACTTTAGTCGAAAAGAACAAAAGCAAATTCACGCAACAGGAACTATCGGCGGATCAACACGTATCAACCGGAAATCTAGTGTACATGTACAACAATCCGTTCTCTAAATCCGCGGAGGTCCAACAACGTCTTCCGAGTATCAGTCGAAATTCCCAACAAGCTCAATCATCCGAGAGCCAAAGTTCCAGCGAGCAAGGTCGTCAGTCAGCAAGATCAGCCTTGCTAAACGATCAGCGAGACGACGGCAGCAGCAGCAGCAGCAGTTCCTACAGTAACGAGGAAAACGATGACAGGACTTACCTGCAATCTCCACCAAGCTTAGACGAGGCTCCGCACAATCCATTGTTGCCTTTCTTTATCGGCTATAATGGCAAAAACATCCAGACGTCCGATCAGATTGACGCGGTGCAAACAGCCGCAAACCTGGCTATTCAAATAACCGAGGGAATGGAGAATCCTAATGCCCAAAAACCCGGCCAGACGCTAGAGAGGTTTACGATCTTGCAGAATCTTCTTCGTACTATGAATACTAATCAGCTCGCCGAAGTAGAAAATGCCGCATTCAAACTATCCAAGTTAAAGAATATTGCTAAAAAAGTCAAGAATGTTCTTCAAAAAACTATAATTCAGATCGGCACAGGACCTGCTCTTGAGTTCATCAAACAAGTAATTAAGAATAAATCGATCAAGGGTTTCGACGCAGCAATGTCCATTTCAAGAATTCCCAAAACCGTTCGCACACCTACGGAGGAATATATCAGAGAGTTTCATGTAAGTAAATGTTTATACACAATACAATTTAAAATAAGAACAAAAACTCTAATATTTTTAATTTGCAAAAAATAGTTATCATATCGAATCAATAATTATAAATCGCACTTTTGCATCTAAAGTATTCATTTTAATATTTGTGCAATTTGATCTGTAAACAGAAATTGATTTCTACGCCAGAAGTGACGAACCAAAACTTCCTAAACGTATCCGCGCCTCTAGCACTCGCCGAAATGATCCGTAACGTCCAATACGACAAAAGACACTATCCAGTAGAAAGTTTTGGCAGTATGAGGCCCCCGAATAGTATACTAGAGGAACTTATTTCATATTTCGCCCAACAATTACAAGAAGCCATCCGTGAAAATAACAGCCCGCGAATACAGACGTACATATTAGCATTGTGTTCTACCGGTCATCCGAAGGCTATTTCAGTTGCCGAGTCATATCTGGAAGGGAATCAAGGGCTGACCAAATTTCAACGTTTGATGATGGTCAACTCGTTATCTCCGTTAGCCAGAGACTATCCGAAATTGGTTAGGCCCGTCGTCTTCAAACTCTACTCGGATATACATGAACCTGATGATATACGTGTTGCGGCATTCTACACTCTTATTAAGACCAATCCACCTCTACCTCTTATGATGCATGTAGCACGCCAAACTCATTATGATAAAAACTATCAGGTGAACTCTGCCGTTACGACCACCATAAATAGTCTCGCTAAGTTGAACCAATGGCAGGCGCGAGATATGGCTGTCAAAGCACGCATGGTCAGAAATTTATTGAATAATAGAAACCACTCTAATTTCCGAAGAGTTGTAGGCGACTATAAGAAGTCTGTAGGCCATTACGCGGATTCGATTAATGACAATTTTGTTCGAAGATATTATGTTGAAACAATCGGTGGCAACCGCTACTTACCTAAGTATGCACATATGAAAGTAGATACGAAAAATGATAACTTTGGATCTTCCACCTTGGATGTAGAATATGCACTGTCAAGCATTCAACAGCTTGCCAAGTATTATTTTAAAAATGTAATGGGGAACCAACAAGAAGGCCAGAGAGGAACACTCGTCGAAAAGATCGCACGCGCGCTTAATATGAAGCCCTATCATGTAGAACAACTCGAAGGATATCTTTTGAGTGCCACTCCATACGAAACGCAGTTATATCCCTTTGACGAGAACGTTCTTCAAAATCTTCTTACAAGTAAGTATAAATTTCGTTTTAAAGAGCTTTATTTTTACACATATAAATCAAAACTGATATTGCATTATAGATTGGAATAATCAAGAGAACCAATTGGACATGAATCTTCTATACAATCGCGATAAAATAATCAGCTTCCCGACGGAAAGCGGTCTGCCTTTTACTTATACAGTAAAGAAACCAATTTTGAGTCAAGTTGAAGCAAGAAATACAGATGCAGAAATTAATAAGAACTCCAAAACTGTGAAAAGCGCGTTCAATATATTATTTGCCAGTAGATCACAGAACAGATTCGGTTTCGTGACACCTTTCGAGCATCAGCAATACATCGCTGGTATTGATAGAGATTTTCATGTACAGCTACCATTAGAATTCAAGGGTGAACAACAACATACTGAAGACCAGACCAACTTGGAGCTGAAATTAATCCCGCAATCAAATCAGCAGACTCAGAAATTGTTGCACACGAGCACCGTTCCCTTCGTCATGCGACACAACATCCTGGATCTTCAACCATTATCTCAGAACAAAAACATGCAAAAAGTTATGCTCGCTAACGCGCAGCAAGGAGCCTCGCAGGAAGGAGCCTCGCAGGAAGGAGTCTCGTACCAAGGAGCCTCGCACCAAGGAGTCTCGCAACAAAAAGGCTCGCATCACAGCGCCTCGTTCGAAGCGGGTATATTCCGTGTCGTGACTGAAAGCGGAATAGAAAGAAATAATAACAATTTTATAAGATTGTTAGCAGCTCCGAGCGAAGAAGAAGATGTCCATTACAGGAAGATCGACGTATTTGTGGATAGCAATGCAGCAAACATTGGAATACGCTTGAACGTTGCGCACGTTCAAAGCAATACCGATAATGCTGCAAATCAGCAATCTGGATCACAGACATCGGAAACATTCACAGTAACTGACGGAAAACCAAACAGCAAAGAGAGAAGAGAGCAATTCCTGACGGAACTCCACAAGAGTAATCAACCTGCCAACAATCACGTTTGGGACATAGACGTCGAATACCCAACATTGCAAAAACAACACCACGCAGTTCTCACCTTCGGCGTGGGACACAACAAGGTGGACGAGAGATATCATATTCTTTTCTACTCGAATGTCCAATTGGCGCAGAATGGAAATGTCGATTATGAAGCTCTCGGTACTGGAACGGTGAAATTTTCACAGAGAACTCCTCTAAATTTCGTAAGAACAATAAATCGTGAACCACAAAACAATTTCGAATTTCTTGTACAATACGGAAAGAATCTTAAAAACGCAGAAAAAGTGCATGTTCATGCAAATATGGTGCAAAGTAACAATCTGAAACATATGATAAAAAATTATGAAATAGTCAAGCAATGTGAAAACGAGATTACACAAGGCAATAAAGGATTGTACGCATGTCAGAAGGCCACTCAGCTTGCTCACATGCACGATCAAATGAAGCTCTCAATGCGTGTCGAATCTGAGCAGCGAGACAGAGTTATAGATGAAATTCTCAATGTTTTCGGTGACATGTTTAAAGGAATAGTGGACTCAATACACCGAAGAAATAGTGGAAAGGACACCGTCGATATGGAAGCAAGGACGTTACCCGATCGCGACGAGGTGGATGTCTCTGTATCTGTTCCTGACATGGAACTTACTCTTTCCTTATTCGGTCTTTCCGATACACAATCGCAGTTGCAATTGTCACCGGTATTGCCACGGCAATTAGCATCGAAATTGTCATCGCAAAGGGTATCGAGATTACCGACATGGCTACGGAATTTAATAATGCAATGGATATCACGATCGTCATCGGGAGCGCTACAAGAATTACTATCGAGATTGTCATCGTCAACGAAATCGGTATGGCAAATAGTATCGGAATGGATACAGCAATTCTCATCAGAAATAGCGTCGGGATTGCCATCACAATCACCGAAATTCCTATCGCTTCAGAATAAAGTCGCATATGCATTAGGAGAGAAATACCAAGGTGAGTTGTAGATATAGATTTTTGTAAAAAATAGAAGCATTTATATTAATATTATTAAATATTAAAAACCAGAGAGAGTTTAAAATATATGAACAATAAATATAGAAATAGATTCTTTCAATAATGTAATATAAAATTAAACAATAAAAACTGGCTAATAAGAGCCAAAGAACGCAGTAATAAACGCAAATAAAAATCGGTTAAAAATATTCAAATAATATTTATTATACATTTCGGTCCATTCTTAGTAAACTGTCGAACATACAAAAATACAAAAAATATAAAAAATGCAATATAATAGACATGCATAAAGTGAAAACTAAATATTAAAAAAGGAGATACATACGTTTTGATTTAATATATTAATAGCTTGTGTTTTAATTTGAAAACAAGATAACACACGAACGACAACACAGAAACTGATGATTTCATATTTTACGACCATATTTATACCATTTGATCTTTTAATATTCTCTCAACTATTCTACAAGCGTATACTCTTTTCCAACCATTATTATATTAGTAAAATAAATTATTTATTGGGTCGTTATTTATCTCGTTATTTGGTCACATTATAATTAATTGGATAAAAGTACATTATGCGACGTGTATACGTAACAAACATATATTTTTCATACGTATAGATAAGTTATTTATAAAATTACGATACGCAATATTATTTAATTTTTTTTTATCGCAGCCACATGTGGTATCGACAAAAACCAGATCGTTACTTTCGATGGTAAATCCTATCCCCTACAAGCAACGGAAGATTGGCAAGTGGTCTTGATCCCTAATTTCCAATATGAGGCCGAACAAGAGATCTCTTCGGCGTTCATTCCAGAATATATGAAAATGGCTATTTTGACTCGAGAAAGGGACGGCAGCAAACAGATCCGTTTTGTCTTGAATGAAAAGGAAGTTCAAGTGCAGAAATTGAATGATGATATCCAAGTCTTAATTGATGAATCGCAAGTTAAGCTATATAAAAAACAAGACAAGCCAGACAAGAACATCCTTCAAAAACAACAGAACGGTGAAGTTTATGTCCAAATCTACGAACTACCGGACAAATCGATCAGGATACAATCTGCCAAATATGGAGTCAATGCCGTATATGACGGAGAACGTATTCAAATTCAGGTAAGTAAAATGGAAAAGAAAGGAAGAAAAATTGATAACATTAAAGATTAGCTATGATAATAGAAAAAATATAAATCGACATAAATTTTCTCATCACAGGTAGAGGACAAATATCGCCATGGCATACACGGTCTTTGCGGCACCTACGATTCTCAATCCGACAACGATTTCGCCAGCCCTGAAAACTGCATCGCACAGAAACCCGAAGATTTCAGTGCTATGTATACTTTGACGGAGAACGGCAAGCAAGAATACACTGCGAAGAACAAAAATAGACAGTACCAATGTGTGCAGCAATCGCATTATCAGAGGAACGTAAAGAACACGGATAGATCTTCGGTCTCCGATATAAATAATTGGGGATATCATGATAATACTAAAGGCAAAAAATATGGAGCTGGCGTTCAGAATAACCAAGATAGAACTGCATTGGTTTATCACACAATAGTCGAGGAGGAGGTTAATCAGATCTGTTTCTCTGTCAGACCTGTACCATCATGCGATCAGCATAGCCGGTCTACCGAAACAAAGTCGAAGACATATGGATTATACTGCGCGCCGAAGGACGAAGCTACAGAACAATTGAAGAACAGAATCAAGCAAGGAGCTAACCCGGACTTGTCCCATAAACCTGTCTCCACTAAGAAGATTTACGAAGTTCCTTTGGCTTGCCAAGCTGCATGATTATACAATACGTAGACCGAACAAGCATACTTAATCGAACGAAACGACTCTTTTTTGTCTTTTTTGTTGTTTTTTTTTAGGAAACTGCAAATATGTTCTTTTAGTAATTAAAGAAATGTGAGCAATAATAAAGTTGAATTTTTTCAACGTAATTATCAGTGGTCTTTTATTTTTCATACGATATTCGATCAAATGAATTGCATGCACGTTACACGCATACAGGATACACAAGATACATTTATTTAAATCCATAAGACTTAATGATAAAGACAAAAGTAGACCTTGTTAATATATAAATATATTTGTTTGCATTTTTAAATATTTCTTTCTAAGTTGCAATAAAAAATTTTAAATAACGAGTGAATCTCTCAAACATAGTTTAGATCATGGTGATCTAGTTGGAATATCATTTTATCTAGATAGCTTTATATATAATACTCTTACATCTTTTATTGCATGCACATTTTGATGCAAACATTTACGAGAATATTTACGCCATTGTTGAACGAGCGCGTCTCTTTAATTGTAATAATGAGTAATTTTGAACTATAGTAATAATGAATAATATCTTTCTTTTAGAGAAAAAATTTGATTTATTAAAAAAAAACTTTTACAATAATTTCTAAAAAATAAAATATAATTTATATTTGTAAAGTTAGAGAAATGAAAACACGACACAATCGCTTTTATTCTTTAAATGTAAATAAAACGAAAAAATAGACGATAAAATGATCTATCATCGTTATGCAAACAGTCTTTAAATATAAAACAACGTTGAATTATTTGCAAAGAATTATCAATGACCTGTTACGAACCTATGCTCTCTGTCTTTCTGTTTATCGATTAAACAGCAAATGCATTAAATACATTGTGAAAACACAGCTGTGGAAGATTATAGAGTTTAATCTAATGTTACGATTAGAATTATATAAGAGAATGGCGAGATATATAAATAGTCCCCCTTTTATAGATTTCGAGACTAAATATTATTTGCGATTCAGATTAGTTTCTTTTAATATTTAGCAAAATAATTAGAATTTTTATATTAATTTTAGGAATTTGTATATTATAATTTTAAGAATGAAAACATGGAAAGCTTTATTGAAGAAGTAAACGAAGATTATAGATTCCGTAAAAAATAAATGTGTTTAATGATAAATATCAAAAGTAAAAAAAAATTGTTTAATGTATTGACAGGATATCAATGTAATTAAATCAATTTGATCCTTTTATGTTGTATTCGGGAAACGACTATCTGCAATGAAAATTATCAATGTAGTTAAGAAATTATTCTATTTTTGTCATCTTGTTGCTAATTATAACTAATTAGAGAACAGTGTTTTGTGAGATATAATGGCCGGAAATCCTGCGGAGATATAAATATTTTATTTATGTAACGTTGTATATACATATATGTGTATGTACATATAAAACATCATTGTGAATTCTCTTCGAAGTTTCGTGCAGTTTCAGCAAAACTTAAATTATTTCTTTTGACGATAAAATTTATACTTTAAAACTGAAAAAATGTTAGCACGTGATAATAATCACTTAGCCTAATAATCTCGACAAATAATTATCTATTTCGTAAAAATTGAGAGTGGTTGTCACGGTCCGAGAAATAGATGAGACAAAAAAGTTTACCTGCAGAAATTGGATGATCATTTTATATATATGTATATAATGATAATTTAAATTACATACTGAACGAAACATAATTTTATTTGCAAAACTTGATTTTTTATTCATAATTATTTTTTCATTCAATTTTCTTACAAATAATATGTTTTTATTAATTAAAATTATTGTTAGCACGTGATAATAATCACTTAGCCTAATAATCTCGACAAATAATTATCTATTTCGTAAAAATTGAGAGTGGTTGTCACGGTCCGAGAAATAGATGAGACAAAAAAGTTTACCTGCAGAAATTGGATGATCATTTTATATATATGTATATAATGATAATTTAAATTACATGCTGAACGAAACATAATTTTAATTGCAAAACTTGATTTTTTATTCATAATTATTTTTTCATTCGATTTTCTTACAAATAATATGTTTTTATTAATTAAAATTATATATATAATAATATAAAACTTTAAATTATTTTTATTTCTTGTTTTTATATTTAGAAATTATACACAGTCAAATAGATTAAAGATACTTTAAAATAGAATATTATATCCATATAAATTTATACTAAAATTGAAAGTATAAACCTTGTGAACGATTGAATATACTTTTTTGCATGTGAGTTTTTTTTTATCTCAATGCAGGCTTCTAAAAGATAATATTGTGGATTGGACAATTTAAGCGAAGTCGATGCATTTGGCAGTCCATTTTATTAATAGCTTTATACAATTCACTTGGTTGCATTTGCGCGTAATTTTGCAAACATTTTGGGGAATTTTTATGTTTTTGCTGACAGTCTAAGATTTTATTTTCCATGATATTTCCATTTCTTTCTTTAAAAAGCTCATCTAAAGAAAATGTAGAGAAAAAGAAGATAATTATTATCTTTAAAATGATGCATCATATATTTAATTTTATTTATAAAATCAAGATAGAGTAAAACTTTGGAAGATTAGCACACATAATCACATGATTTAATTTGTTAATCAGCTATACTTCTAAAAATGGATACGTTCCCGGCTTGTAAACTCTTCTCAAACTCTCGAATCTCTTTTTCACATCTCTCAAAATAAGTGCCACGAAAAATTAAAGAAGGTTTACGATCGATTTGACAGTCTTTGCAAATAGCTTTCGCTTTAGAAACATATTGATCATATTCGAGACATTTCAACATTTCTTCGATGTATGTGAAACGAGTTTTATCAATTCTCGTGATGACACCTGGACGGCATTTGGTCCTCAAAAGATGATGTAACTTCAAAAAAACATAGTTTCAGCAATGTTTGAATATTAAATTTTGTAAAAAATTGTAATGTGCAAATCGCAAAGATCTAGAGAAAAAAATTTAATAATTTCATTTACTTTAAATAAGATGAATAAAATCCCGAGCATCGCTTCTTGTTCAGTCATATTTTCCGCGTATTCGAGTTCTCCTCGTCTAAATCTATAAAAAGATAGTGCATGCTGACAACAGTAAATAATGGATGCATGTAAACATACTTTTTCATGTTTTCTAAAGTTTCATCGTTCTTCGTATAAACGTCTCTCAACCATCGTCGTAACTGTAGAAAGTTTATTTGTGTTTTTCTAATCCAGTAGCCTCTCCAAACAGCTTGAATCCTCGTCGCCATACTAGTATAATAATCCTGCCACATCTGCTGAACATGCTGAATCAAATATTGATTAGTGAACATCCTGGTGCGATATCCGCGCCAATGACGTTGCAGAATCGTCGCGTTTTCGTGGAGCCTACGGAGATGATTACGAGTAATAATGCCACGGATCCAAGCCTACAATTTAAAAACTTTGATATTATATATTTATTAGCGCCATTGATATAGAGTCGTTAATTATTATGCCAGATTATTATGACTAACCTGAATTTTACGAGCCGCGATAAAGTGCAGGCGTCTCGACGATTCGGCCAAATCATGTTTAACTTTAATCACGTTTTGCAATTCAATAGGATTAACTACGAATCTCAACAGCGACGCCATTCTTATAAGTTATTTAATTATTTGAGAATCGTTGTTTAATAATAATAAATATATAAAGACCATTATTTTTTGGGAACATTTGCAATCAATGTGAATATAGTTTAATTAAAGCGTTATACAATACATATATAGAATATGCATATTTATATATTATATATTATATATACGTGCATGTGTGTGTGTGTGTGTATGTGTGTGTGAGAAAGAAAGAGAGAGAGAGAGAGAGAGAGAACACATATTATTATAAAATATATATATTACTATGTACTCTTATTTTAAAAAAATATTATAGAAAGTCATTCTCTTTCTCACACATTGTCAGTCATACTTACAAATAGATAGAGAATATACAATGTAGATTGAAAGTAAATCAAAAGACATAATCCGTTCATAATATTGACACTATTCTCAAATAGGCAGAAATAATTCTATTTATCTGGCCAGTAATTCTATTAAGAGAATAAAGTTAATATAGGATCTCAAAAGACATATTTAAAATTATTAAACTTTTTTAATAAATATTATAACCATACATTTTGAAAAAACTTTATATAAGATATATCTTGTGTGTGATGTTCGTATTAAAAATTTTTTCGTATAAAAAGTGATCACAATATTCCTATATATATCAGAATCATTAAGAGCGAAGTCGATACAAACATCAAGATTGCTCCTCCGACTGCTACGAAAATGTTCTTTTTTTTCTTTTGCGGAATCCTTGATACTACATGAAAGTCCCGGGACTGTAACAGAAATATTCATAAATGTTATGTATCGCGCCGAATAGTGATTGCCATAATCGTCTCGGGGTCAGTGATTCGTGGCTTCTTAATCGGCACTCACGATTACTATAATTAATTTCTTCATACCGTTGTATAGCCATTTCTAAATGAAGTCGCGTGTAGGAACTACATTGCTTATTGTTAATCGGTTATTGAATGCGATGGAATTCTTATTATAAAAGCTATAAACGCGTAGAGGGTCGTATTAAGTGAGATCAGCAAATCGATTCAGAAATTGTATAAATTATTGGCGCAAATCAGCCATTTTTAATTAAATATAACGACATTAGTATTAATAGGATTGGGCCGCAACTGTTACAATTTACTTGACTTGATTGATGTTTCATTTTTTTACGAGCAATATGAATAATAACAACAAAAATATAATGAAAAATATAACGAAAAATATAACGAAAATAAACGAAAATTTATTTATACCGAAATTTCGAGGCTCTGCGTCTTTCGAACGAGTTCGTCCAATCTCTCGCCCCTATCGATCAGCTTTTGAACTCCATCCATCAACAGATGACGTACCTCGATCAATTCTTCCTCTAACTTCGAGATCAAATTTTCAGAATCGGCATCTTTACGATTATACTCCTCCTGAAATAATGTCGATTCTATTTTTCTATATCGATATATTTTTTTATATCTTTTTTTTTTCGTTTATCAATGCAATAAAAAGTCGTTTATTTAAGAGAAGAGAATCATGAAATTTTTTTAGTGAAGTTTATAAACTATGATATTTTACATAACATGCAGCCAGATATCAGCCAGATGTGATGATCAAGTATGACTTGAAAATCGAAAGCAAATAAAGGTTTCTCATAGTTGTATTGTTAAAAAAATTTCCTACAAGTAAATTAAAATTCGTTATATATACAATTATATTGATATTGGAATTTTATGAGATATTGAAAATACTGACTTTTATATTACTATCTCTTTTCACCCCCCTTATGCTATAAAATTATTTTATCACTTACAATTATCTTTTTCAAAGGTTTCGAAAGATCAGCTACCGCGAGATTAGTCAGATCTCTCGATAAGTCCGCCAATATTGGTAATTCTCTATAAACGTTTCGTAGTCTTTGCAGAAATATTTGAGAGCAAGATTCCAGTTGTATTGTTGAGGAAGGGCAATTAGATCTCGATGTCAGACAGGCATAATGAAGTTCTCCAATCAACACATGTACAGTATATCTATAGAAAAATTCGGCGTTATGCTCGTTATAGCTTAAATAAACAACATAAGAATAAAGCAATCTTATCCTGCATAATTAATTTATTGTGACCTATTATATAATTCATAAAATTATTATATAATACTTGTTTATCGCGAGTATGCCATAACAAGAAAAACTGCTGACGCCCGTATAATATCATCTAATAATATGTTTAATGCTTCTCTCTAATCGAAAAACACAAAACTTTGGAAATGTGCAAAATTTAAAACTTTGTTACTATAAATGTCAATCTTATTATTGCGACGCAATACGTGTCCTTCTCGAATTTACGACGCATGAAGCATATTTCGTGCATGATCGAATATACAAGCTAGTGCAAATAAAGAAGATCTTACTTGCCCCGATCGACGCTGATTTTATCGTCTTCGATCGTCTTGAGGCCATCGAGGGTACTGAGGGTGAGAGCACGATAGGTCGGGTCCCGATCCGCGGGATAATCCGCGACGATCTTGCAGCCGGATTTCTCCCAGAGGGCCACCAGAGCGTAATGCACGGTCCCGTTCATTTCAGTCATAATGGAGAAGATACTCTCGTCGCGGCCGAATGACAGACAGACTGACACTATCGCACATTCACAGACACCAAAGGCGGCAAATACCGCTGTTTATGTCAGTTCTCGGCTTGTACATAGCCCAATGAGTAATGAAAGAGATTTTGATAAACTCGATAACAACACGCTCGTACCATATCATATGCTGCATGATATGAACAAATGTTGTTTCAAGAGACAAACTCCCTGCATCGTTCCATTGACCGTCACCGTTTACCGAATTCTCGATTATTGCCGATGTCGCGAGAAATTTATCTGTTTACCTGATTAGACAACTCAATATATCAAAGACATGTCTCTCGTGACTTGAAATCAGAGGTCAGATGAAGAGATAATCCTTATTTCGAAAGAGATTGTATAAATGCAATCTCTTATTTTGAATAATTTTAGTGAAATATTTATAAAAAAGAAAGCATTATTATAAATATTCGTATAAATAAATGTATTCAAAATTTATTTGATATTCTATTATATATATATAGTGCATTATCACAAACACACTTACACTATATCCTTATCTTTTCGATTACTTCTTACAAATAGCTGCAATATAAAATTCTTAGTAATCTATTAAATAACAAGTCTATATAAAGACATAGAGCAAAATTGATAGCGACCGATCACTCTTAACCATTAATCAATTTTCTGTGAATTTATTCGGAACCAGTCGATGTTAAACTCTACCACCTCAATATGGCTTATCCTCGTGTTCGCACCGGCCATCGCTTTCGGAGGTTTATTGAAAAAACGCAAGATTTGCGAAGAATAGTAGTACAAAAAACACGCATAAATTACTCTTATTAATCGTAATAATTATGACACCTCTTTCAATTTCTCCTTTTTCTTAAATAGAGATAATATAGTAGCGTTATTCATACCATGATTGTTCAATATTTTTTGACAAGATTGTCTCACTTTCGGTATACAAACATATATATTGACACACTATATGTTCTTCCTTAAAATGTTTAATCCTGGCATGCAGCTTTGTATTGTTTTAAGTCTTGTGCAATCCTAGAGATGTCGATTAAGAGATGAAATTAGATGATAGAAAAATTGAGTATAATTGAGTTTTTCTAATTTCATATGTTTAATTTCACATTTTCGCATATTTATTATATGAGATAACGAATTAATCAAACTTGATACTTTCATTTTTATTACTGATTATATTATATATTTTAGAAAAATAGTCTTTATGTTTTCAATGGTCGTTTTTAAATATTTTCAATAAGGAAATTATAATTTTTCACACATCTGTCACGTATTTTATATACGCAAATTTTACTCATTCCATTTTTTATTAGTCACGAATTCCCATAATATGATAATCTGTAATCATGAAAACTATGTCTTTTTGTCGGACATTGACGAGCGGAAATCCGGATAGTATCGGTCCATGAACACGATGATATCAACGGTGCCGTGATCAACGCAATGTAAGATTTCAAAGAATTCTCGAAATTTTCTATTACGGAATTGATATTGAACATGCATGGTATATTGGACAGCATGGACACGCCGGCGAAACGTAAACGTCTTAAAACATTAAAAAAAAAAATTAACGCTGTTAGTGATTAAAACTCCATGGATTCAAAAGAACACAGTTAAAACTATAGGAAAATATAATAATAATAACATAGAATAGATCTCCGCGTTTCGAAATAAAGACACATCGTATCAAGACACATCCAAGTGTTAGGATAAGTAGTTCTTTTTGCATTTTCTTTTTAATTAGAGTCCTGTATAGCATGCCACAAAATATAAAAGAAACTCTTAATTTTTACTCTCCAATATTGCAAGAGATATCTTGATTTTTCGTAAGAATAATATTTTGAGGAACCTCTATGAGGAACCAATTACAAAATTATAGGAAAATTATAGTAGAATAGACATCTATTTCTCAGAAATCAATTTTTTGTACGTCGTATCACTATCAAGATATTTCTAAGTGAAGCAAGTTTGATCGCTTTGAGAGCGATTAAATCCAATTTGCCATGAATATATGTTCAATTAAAAAGTAGTGTATGTCGCCTTGTAGGTTTCGAGAGAATCTGATTGATATAAATATATATATAATGCATTAATAATATAAATAATATAAAGTTCATGCCCCCCGTTTTTGACGCTATTTTTGCTTTAAAGCATAAGATTTTTTGTCCTGATTAAAATCAAACGCTTACTCAAAGTATTTTATTAATTAATCTAATAATTCAAGTACCCTTAATAATACAATAATCCATGGAATATATGACATCATTAATCGGTCTCAGAACGATCAAACCTGCTTTACTCAAAAATGCTGTATTTTATCGCCGGCATAGCTCTCAGGTTTATTAGAGTACTCAAACCTCCTCACCCGGCAAATGCCTTCGTTAAGGTGTAGATACCATCGAGGAGGAAAAATATGTGAGGACACAAAATATAATACAAAATAATTTATTACATGGAATTATACGAAAATGTCCAAAATATGCGTATAATAAAAAATTTACTAGAAATGTTTAGTATAGACAAAGCTTTTTAGCAACAATTTATTACGCGATATTTATTATTAATAATTGACATACAATTATAGAGCTTAATAAGTTTTGTATAATATAAATAATCGCGACCAAAAGAGTCGTTAATAAAAATATCAATCATCTTTCAATTATAAAAGAAAAAGAATTTGCACTACTAGCGGATTTTATGCAGACTTTCAAAGAAAATATTCAAGATGCAAAAAGATAGATAAAGCTTCGATGTAAATCAACGATTAAATTATAAAATAAATTACGATTTAAAATTCGCGAACAGACGTAAGGAATAAATAAACCGACGATATTCATAATATCCGATTGCGATACGCGTAATATTCGATTGCGATACGCGTAATTTCTACAATAATCGAAGCAATCAAAGCAACACATGTACGCGCGCGCGATATAATTACTATTATTTTATGCAAAGATATTTCGACAGATATTCCAGATCTGTAATATAGCATCCACTGTCCGATTTACTTTCCAATACGCGATTTTATACGAATGTCGCGATCAACAATAAGATACATATTTTATCACGCGAATAACTGGTTTAATAGGATAAAATGGGTCTTATAAGCCTTAAAATATTATAAAAAATTACGTTATCGCCACGTTTTATAGAGAATAACAGACCCTACGATTTTAACAAGGCCCTCCCTCCGCCCGGTGACACGCCGGTTAATATCCGACAAAAAGAAGAACAATCCTAAAGGTAGAGAACGACCAACGTCTTGTTTCTATATCAGTTTCTGCAAGATCGATCCGCAAAGAAAAGTTAAGTGATCCGTTAAACGTTAGAGCCGCTGCAGGAAGGAACGAATCCCGGATCTTCCGGACTGCTCCCAATAGCAATGATTTCGGTAACGAATCAACGACAATTACCATTATCATTATCTTCAATTCGCGAGATCGAAATTCACGCGAAAAGATATTCTTCTATTATTAAGAAATATATCTCTTTATTAAAAAATATATGGATATAACGATTTCTATGGAAATGTGGTTACGAACGACTATATTTATAGATAATAAAATACATGCATTGTTATTACAGTTTGTGCTAAATGTGCGAGTACAAATAATTCTCGGGTACCAATTATTCGAGACGAATCGAACCCGATAACAGCAAAATTTAAGATATTTCAATTCAGATACTTTGCAAGATAAAATAAATTGACATAATTTCAAGTAATTAATTCTAATCTATTTTTCTAACGTTTAAATAAATTAATTTGTCGATATTTTACTGATATCGGGGTACCCATTCGACTTATCTCGAAGTTTTTAAGTATTCGCACATTTATATATGTAATTTCGTATACATATAACATAATATTCAAAGAAGTATAAGAAAATTTTGAAATAGTATATTGATTTGCGCATGTATTTTATTATATATATAAAATAGTATATATATTCTAAAAACACTAATCTAGGGCTAATGTCCTAGAACGGCGGGATGTCCAGTATCTGCAAGTAGTTTCTTAAAAGAAACCAAAAATTAATGTTCATGTCTCAAGTACCTAGAGAAATAGTTTCTCAAAAAAAACCAAAAATTATATTAATTAATAGTTAATTATTAAAATACATTCGTTTGTAACCATTTTTTTATCAAAAAAGTCAACAAAAACGGACAAACTAATTACAATTTGAAATTATTAAAAAAATATAAATTTATACACAATAGCTATATCCATTTTTAATCTACTATTAAATCTTTCTTTTTCATAAAGACAGTAATAAATTAATACTAATAACGATAGAAGAACACTTTTAACGAAGAAAAGAAAATATATTTTTCTTCTAAATATACTGTTTAAATTAATTTCGTAATTTGACTTTAAAAAGGCGTGTGGCGCTCGTCGTTGAGTTACTACCGAAACCATTGCTTTCAGGAATCGTCAGGAAAACCTGGGATTAATTCCAATCCTGCAACGAAAATCCCCAATTTTCAACAGAGCACCAAACTAGACGTCGCGGATAGATTTTACAAAAACCAATAAGAAATAATTCTTCACGATGATAATCTTTCTCTCCTCAGCACCTAGAAATATTTTCTTAAAAAAAGATTGAAAATTATATTAAAATTAATTAATAAAATATATTCGTTCGTAACTATAATTTTTTGTATCAAAAAAGTCAGTAGAAACAGGCAAATTGATTGCAATTTGAAATTGCTTGAAAAATATAAATTTATCTATATAAATTAGCTATATCCATGTTCAATCTACTCTATTAAATCTTTTTAACACATTAAGACAATAATATATTAATATTAATAATGATGGAAGAACACTTTTAACGAAGAGAAAGAAATATATTGTCTCTTCAAAAATACTATTTAAATTAATTTCGTGATTCGACTTCGAAAAGGCGTGTGGCAGTCGTCGTTGAGTTACTACCGAAACCATTGCTTTCAGGAATCGTCAGGAAAACCTGGGATTAATTCCAATCCTGCAACGAAAATCCCCAATTTTCAACAGAGCACCGAACTAGACGTCGCGGATGGATCTTACAAAAACTAACAAGAAATAATTCTCTACGATGAAGATCGTTTCGACTATTCCTCGGTACGAACTAGGCAACTTTATTACCGGTCACCTGACGAGAGGG